AACTAGATTGATATATATCGCTAACTAGAATACCTTAATTTAGCTTTAACTAACCCGGTGTATAAAAGTGTAATAGCCTGATTTTTCTAATTTAGTTGTTGCCAGTTGTCCTAAAACTAATTGGTGTCAGAAAACACGTAAATCACAATTTTATAGTGCATTCAACACATGCAAGTGCTCACGGCATTCGATTATGGGTCGCGCATACCCGGCCGGTCCTACCTGCTGCCAAACTCAGGCTAACAATATCAATTTTCATATGGTAAAAAGTGAAATAAATTTTATGTTTTGAACATAAGTTTATTTGTGACTATTCAAAGGGACAAAATATGGATCATTATTCATTAGATATGTCTGTTTAGTATCAAGTGGAGAGGATCATTAAATAGGAAGTTGGGCCTTTGTATTAATTATATGTTGTAATGAGAAGTTGCAATATGCTTCTAACAATTAATTCGAGATAGCAACTTTTTATCAACCTTCCATTTATTATAGTGACACTCATTTTCATCCAATTTTAATTTCAAAAACATTATTGCAGAGGATTTAATTCTTGGGAGGACAAAACGACCAAATTAAACCTCAACAAATTCTCCTCCTATATTTTAATGAAATGTGTGTTATAACCATTCTGTGCGAACTTCCCAGGAGGTCACTCATCTTAATACTACTTTTGTACAAGCACGTTTAATTTTGAAATTTAGATCGGATTATCTGCATGAATACTGGTACGATCGCACCTCTTATGTTAATTTTGTTATTATAAAATTATCAGAATGTTATACAAAATTGTTTTGTGAAATACTCAAAGGAACAATATGATTTTTGTTAATTAACTTTATAAAAGATAGGTTAAATTACATTCACCCCTGAGGTATGGTCAAATTACGAAAACCCCCCTTTCTGTTTGGGTGATTACAACCATCCCCTCAACTATAAATTTTCTTACATGTCCACCCTTACGGTTTCAAATTTAGTAGAATCTTCGAGATTACATAAAATATTATCACTTTTGTACCCGTTATATCCCATTCGAACTCTACTTTATGAAGCAAGATGATCATAATATGTGTTTTTTGGCTTGTATATAAGATTGTGGTGCATCGAAAGCTGTATTTTTACACAAAACGAGTACATATTAGAGCACAATCCACGAAACTAGATGATTATGTTGAATTTGACACCATACGGTTGGAGGTGTAAGAAAAAATCGTAGTTGAGGAGGTAGATGTATTATCCAAATAAGAGGGGTTTTTTTGTAAATTGACCATACCTGAGGGGTGGTTGTAATTTACCCTAAAAGATAACACAATATGAATACCCAAGAAAGACATAATTTTCTAAAACAAAATATAAAATAAAATAATTTGATCGAATGTGTTGTGTTAAATTCAATTCGTGTACACATTTTCATACACAACATTAGTGTTGGCATTTATATTTTTGGTGGGTCATGCCAATGTTTGTACTTTTCTAGTTATACCATTCACAATATTACATTTTACATCAATATTTTATTTTCCCTCTTAAACAAATTACCATATTTAGGAGTACTATTTCATTAACTACATTTACAAGTTTATAGGTGTGCCTACTAAAGAATTGCTGCATTAAATGAATCATAAATCACCATTGCTTGTAAGGTATCAAAGCAAGGCATGGTATAATATAGCTCGAGTTGGACAGCACATCGTCTAACAATTCGAATTCGATTGACCGAATACTTTCTAGATCGAATTCGTCACATTTGACTTATCTAGTTCAATTTATATTTACCGTGTGTCATGCGAGCTATTAATATATAAAATTATTTAATCAATTAAACTAATACTCCCTCCATTCCTTGATAAAGGGTATCTTACTCAATATCTATTTTCTTAAAATCAAGACACATTTATTAACATTCTTAAAACTAGTGTAAAGTTGAAAAACAACAGTTAATTAGAAACGTAAGGAGTAACAAAATAAATTATTTATCTAGACAAGTGTATGTCTGAATGGCTATTTACATAGATCCACGGATTAAAATCACCCGATAAATTTTACCGAATGTAACATCTCATACACCCCTATTGCATAAACTGGTCCAAACATTATTATGTCAATTATCTCATTTATTACCAAAATACATAGAACACAACATTGGAATCATGCCCATGTGGCCTTTGGCTTTATCATATATATTTATGTCCCAAACTAGTATTATGTGGAGCAATTCTTTTGTTTCTTCATAGTACCTACGAATACTAGGTACTAGGTGCAATATTATATTAATGTGAGACAAATTAATACAATTGGCACAAGTAAAACTCTAGTAATTCAACGAAATATTAAATTATCGATTTAATAATTTAACGTGTTGTCGCTGAGTCGGGACCAAGAGAAATTATATTCAAGCGAGATTATTAATTTATCGAGTTTCTACTGCACAAAAGTTGAATTCATTCAAAAGTAATATACTAGTAAGATATATATAACTTATAATGTATTTAATGAAAGGTAAACTTCTAAGATGTAGAGATTTAAGAACAATTCGAACTTTCTAAATAATCATTTCATCCAAAAAAAAATTATAGGGGGAATATATTTCAACTATAGGAGTATTAAAAACAAGTGACAAAATCAAAATGTGCAAAATGTATGACAAGCATTTATTGGAATGAATGAGGGGTGAATGGTTAAATTGGAGCTGCTCCAACAAGAACAATAAATGAAAGCTAACAAACACAACATTAAATAACTTAGAGCTTGAGTATAGTAATAGTATAGGTGACATTTAACACATTTATTACCATTTTTAATGTGCTCTGGCTGCTCTATACCGACACACCATCCTTCTTTCGTGCACAAAATGCAACAGATTTTAATGCCCCTCGGATCCTTTCTTCATCTGTACTTATCCTTTTTCTTTTCGATTTCTCTCCGAAAAAATTTAAATTTTATTTCGTACATTTTTTTTTATTATTAGTCGTTTAGGCTCTGTTTGGATCGTCGATTTGAAAACGAAGAAAAGGAACAGTGTAAAGAGAAATGAAATAGGAGAATTTCGAAATGACAAATATATTTGGTTTCTGAAGAAATAAAAATAGCAACGAAAATCTTGATTTGACGAATGAATGATTTATCTTGAAGAAAATCGAAGAATGGAAGCAAAGGGATAGAGAAGAGATTGGAGAGAGCGGCATGAGAAAGACCGAGAAAGAAGTTCGAGACCGGCATTAAGTATAAGCATATACTTAATGCAAGCATTTAGACACAACTTTTGATATTGTCTAAATAGGGTTTATTTGATGCTACACTCGGTTAAATACACCAAGTGATTGATTATTAATCGTTGATCTCTACATAATCACACACACCCATGTGTATGTGTGCTCAGTAGGAAGTTATTTCATCACATCAATGGTTAAAAATCACCCAGTGTAGCATCTCAATGACCGTCTAAATAGGGTGTCACTTCTAAAAACAAAAACAAAAACGGATATCAAATACTCGGGTTTGAATACTCAAACATATCCTCTTTACTTACTATACCAACAACAAAAGATCCAAATGTTTATGCTAAGGCCTTGTTTGGTTTCAAGCTAAGATTAGTCCGAGATAAAATTATGCAATGTTATGAGAACTCGATTGTATAATTAAACAAGGGGGGGTCCAATACACAATGCCCTAATAATATTTTTCATAATTGCAGGCCGACCCGAAAAAGTTACTGCCTGCACTAACCAAACATCAAATAATAAGACTTTCCACTGCTACGAGTTTCAATTTTAAATCGATCTATATTTTCTCAGAGTAAGTGCTGTATCCCTTTAAAACTAAGTACATTTCCATTTTTTTATCCATTTTTTTGTTCTATTTTCAGATAATATGAAATGAACAAGTTAATATAATCATGGGATCACAAATTACTTGCTAGAAAAGATTAAAGTACCTATTGCAATTTTCTCGTCTTTCCATAGTAGTCCCCAGAAACGTTAAAATTCTCCATTCACATCACTGTTAGAAGTTTTAAGCAAGCAGATGACCCGTGGATCACACACCCCGACCCTCATCGTGTAGCAACTCGAAGAACTTAGTAGCGATCAACCAAAGCTTCTCCTTAACTGATTAATAAGCTGTTTAAAAAAAACGGTTATGAGCATAGCAATTACTATGTCGAATTTAATGAAGTGAACAAATATAATGTAGAAAATAAAATGAGAAGCTGAATTGCATCAATTAAATTATCGAAAGAGAAAAAAAAAAAAAAAAAAAAGAAAAAAAAGAGCATGCTGGTATAGTTATATCTCGGGATTAATCACGGTTTTAGAACTAATGATCAACATATGTTCATCACAGTGAAACACAGAGTGCACGAAATCTGAAAAGAAAAAATCTCAATATAAAATTAAATAAACAAGAAACATATGATATGAAATTAAGGGAGGCAAAATATACATTACTTAAAGCAATAGAAACAAAAGCTAAAATTAAAACTAACTCACCAGTACAGGATACTGCAAAATCCAGCCCAATACGGGAATCTCGTAAAGGAACGCCTGGATTGAGGGCCAGAAACCACTGGGCAGCAAACAATCAAATGTATAGTTAAAATCAAGATATGTGAATATTTCAAAGGATATGAACTAAACTCGTGCATACGAAATAGATAACAGAGAAAGCGAATTAAATGTGACGCAATTGCTTACCTGAAAAGGAGAAAACAGCCATAAAGTTCCACGACTATGCCGACTACCGGCCAACGGACAAAGATCAAGAATATTCCGAGAAGGAATGAAATTGTGCCCTGTTGGATAAGAAGTGATTAAAAAATTAAACATTTAATTCATTTCAATATCCTGTTTCATGAACTTGTGAAATATATCATGCAAACTTTTCTAATGATATACAGAAATGGTTAAATCAGATAGCCACATTTAATTTAATAGTGTAGAAATCGGGCAATAGATAAAATGACAATGACCAAGGTCATATGCAATGTCCAAGAAAATCGAAAAAATAAGACCACTTCCACCTTAATCCTCAGCAAGTACCTTGTAGTTGGTTCGATTTGTGAAGAGCTGAAGTGTGGAACGCAAACCAAGTAAAAGAGCTACACCTGTTAGCCAAAATATCTGAATAGATAAAGACGAAATAGAAACATTAATACAGGAGGTGCTTATGAGGGCAAAAATACCAAAATTAAGGAAACTAAATCGACAGAAAAGTCTTACATTGCCAAGAGCTAGCAAACCTCTGTCAAAGAACAGAATTACGGCAAGAAAGGTGAAGAATATACCGAACCCGATAAGACCCAGACCAACCTCTGCAAGGGATTTTAATTAGCACTGTGAGATATCACCTTTCAAGTTTATTATTAAAAAAAATAATAATAATAATAAATAAAAAAGAACCTAATAATTTACCAAGTAACCACCTCCATATTTCACATCTTATTATTAGTTGATGTAGATTATTTATAACTTGAAGGATTGGAATCCTAATAGACCTTTACTTCTTTAATTCACGACCTCATAAATATCAAGATTCAAAGGGGTGTCACAAATCTATAGGTCCACCACTTGCTTTAATCTTTAGATGTTTCGTTTGTCGACCAATTCAACCCTCAGTATCAGTTTATCAATCTTTAGATGTTCCGTTTGTCGACCAATTCAACCCTCGGTATCAGTGTATCACTCCCATATTTCATGAACTAAAACTACTGTCAAATACAGTAAGTATACATTTGTATTCATCATTGCTATTATCATACTTCTAAATAAGCTCAACGCTCACTTAATTACTTCAATACACTCTTATGTACTAAAATTCGTCACACTCATTGATCCTTCGTGCATAAAATCTCCAACATTTTTTTTGATACAAGACTGCAGTTTTATAGCAGACAGCTCTTACACCTGTAAATTCCTCTATTCATCAGTTCGTCCCAATAGCACGGCAACTGGTTGATTCGAGCAAGACCCGAAAAATACATATTAAATTCTCTAATTTGAAGATTAAGAAACACCAAACATTTTGACTTAATTACGACCACAAAGAACTACCGTATGCGAACTGCTAAGTCTATTAAAAGGATAGTGGAGAAAACCCCTTTCATCAACAAACTCGAACAGAATTCGCTCTGGTTTTAATGTTTCCAATACACTATGAACTTCTAACTCCGGAATATGATATGTGCTTCACTTTCATTACAACGATAAACAGGAAACAATATTGTTCGTTCATGTATAGAGTAATCGAGACCAAATACATGGACCAAATCATAAACTAATCAGAGAACAACTTCCAGAACAGTAGTTACAGTATAACTTATTTCGTTAAGCTTAATTCAGACGAGCACTACAATCTTCGAACTACGAACTACTGAAGTAATGTTCAAGTTACTTTCTCAAATACAGTTCCTACCTATTTGAGTAATAGCATTGTATATCACAACATAATGCCCTAAATAGAATTACTACCATATCCAGAAAAAATCAAAAAATATATAATAATAATAATAAATTGGACTGAAACATCATTCAAACTGTAATTAATTGGAACGAAGAAGATGAACATAGCCGGAAAATAATGAAGTAACGAGAACCAGAGAAAAATTCACTCACTTTTCTGATCGTTCAATTCGTACGGCATCTTGCGCACCCAAATGGAAGCTGATCAATTTTTTATTTTTATTTCAATCTCTGCTGTAAGAATTGGGGAAAATTACAAACAATTATCGACAATGAAAAATTAGGATGACCTAAATAACTTGTTCCGAAGAACAGCGGCGGATGAGGGTTTACCGGAGCGGCGGAGACGGTCGGACGCTGGTGAGGTTTTGAATTACTTTTGTTCGATTGAATTACTTTACGGGCCAAATTACGGCCACACCCCTGAGTTATGGTCAAATTACAAAAACTCCCCTTCTGTTTAGGTAATTACAAACTCCCCTCTCAACTATGTATTATCTTACACAAAGACCCCTACAAAGGTAAATTTAGGAATGTTAATTCAATAAAACCGAACCGAAATTTCCGTACGCCAACATTTCATACCGTTTATCGAACTAAATATACATTTAGTTTGGTAAATAACAAAATTACATAATTTTTATGTAAAAATATTTAAAAAGAGGGGATGACTGTAATTACGTACCTAAATAAAAGGGGTATTTCGTAATTTAGTTGTACCTTATGAATGGCCTTAATTTACCCTTTCCTTAGCTAACACTAATATGAGTTTGATTAAAACGGATTAAAAATATATATATATATATATATATATATATATATATATATATATATATATATATATATATATATATATATATATATTTAATATGTTGATGGCTTATATTAAAATTAATTTTATTATTAACTGTTTTTCAACTAATTATCTGTCAATTAATTAATTAGTAGTAATAATTGTTTTAAAGTGTACTCAAATTGAGCACATAGAATGGACCCAAGGCATCAAGCCCAGCCCAACATTGGCATCGGACAAGAGTCCAACATTATTAAAGTCAGCCCAATTAGTTTTTTCTTCGATTTTCACTACTTCAAAGTTCGATCGAGTCCGTCGTATAACAAATTTATATGTTACGAGCTTGGTCAAAAATGTGTTGACAGAGAAGGTTCATACTCGAGTCAAATCATATTGTGTTCTCTTACTTCACCGACTAAATTTGAAAGCCGATTTCAATTTGAATTACATATTTTCATTTTTTTGGTTTAAAAAGAAAAACTGGAATTGGAATGTATAGTGGATCCCGATTTTCGATACAATTTTACTTTCCGAAACATTACATATGTAACATCAATATAATTATTACTCATTTTATACAATGTACGTACAAATAAAAACAAAATTTCTAAATTACGCCGATTTTGATCTGAATTTGTTTATTTCGGAACAAGTTTTCTCTAAACTAAAAAAAAGAATTGATATTTTTTATTATGATTTTTTTTTTAAATGTCGACATCCCTGAATTTCTATTATTAATCAATTATATATATATAAATGTACTTTCTACTTGCAGAAATTTACTTTGAATACTTCACATTCTAGATTAAGAAAGCCGGTGACTTGGACCGGCATGGATCTATTCGAGCGGTTTGAATGAGTTTATAAGTATATATATTTAGATAAAAATAAAAAGTCCAATTAATTCTATAATAGAGGAAGGTGGACAATAAATTAAAAAATTAAAATAAAATAGTTTATGATATCTAATCCCACAATGTTTAATTGGATGCTGTCAATTCGAAATCATAACAAACTTGATCCAAATTCAAATAAAATAGTATAGGAGATAGGGGAGTTTCTAGAGATGACTTGTTAAAATGTTTATGAATAAAATAACTTAAAATAACATAATTTCTACCTAATTGATTCATTCAATAAGACGTCTTTGTCTTAAAGTGGTAAAAAAAAAAAAAAAGTGTTGAGTACTTTTAATTGGTGTAACCACTTTGAAAAATAATTAGTCACTATTTAAGAATCAATCAATCAATCATTGTAATACATCATGCTAATACTCCGTCCTTAGGTAAATATATGTCGTTTTTCGTCTTTGCACAATTCTTACGAAACTCAATACTCTTAAGAAGTCCCCTGGGGAATGGCCTGGTGGTTGCAACACGAACTTATGTCAATTGATCAAAGTTTGAATCTCCTTGCGAACAGTTGTTAGGTCGAGTTTCTCACACATTGTTTGTCTAGTGTGGTTTACGTCTCACGTATGGTTTACACGTCCACCCTTGCGGTTTCAAATTTAGTGGAATCTCCGAGATTATATGGAATATTATCACTTTTCGAACTCCACATCATTTTGAAGCAAGATGATCATAATATGTGTTTTTTGGCTTGTATATGTCAGATTGTGGTGAATCAAAAACTGTATTTTTACACAAAACGAGTACAAAATAGAACACACTCCATAAAATCCAGATGATTATGTTGAATTTGACACCATGAGGATGGAGGTGTAAGAAAAAATTATAGTTGAGGGGGAAAATGTAATTATCCAAAAAAAAGAGAGGTTTTTTCGTAAATTAACCATATCTTAGGGATGATCACTAGGCCAAAACACAGTTCTGGCGACGTTAAAATTTGCGACTAAATACAAATCGTCGCAATTTTGCGACGATTCCTACTACATTAGTCGCAACAGTTTAAATCCCGCTTTTGACTCAAAACCTTGGCGACGAAACACGAGTATCGTCGCTATGTTGCGTCGAATCTGTCAATAAAAATCGCAACGAGAAAACAAAATAATTTTCATATATTTTTGAGACGAAAAAGCGACAAACGTCGCGAAAAAGTAATTTTTTTTTTATTTTTAAAGTATATGTTAGCGACGAAATTTAGATAATCGTCGCTAGGAGTTTGAAAAAAATATTTTTTTCTTCAATCCCTGCGACGAAATACACGTCGTCGCAATTAGAATAATTTTTATTTTATTTATTATGTTTTCTGCGACGAATTGTGACTAAACGACGCAAACAAATTGCATTTATTTCTTTTCCCGTTGCGTCGATTTAGGAAACAGTCGCAGTTAGAATAAATTATTTTCCTTTTATTATTTTTTAATAAATATTGCGACGAATATGTATATGAAACGTCGCAAGTATTTTCTCTTTCCCAAATTTTGGAGCCCAAATTGCTACAAATATATAAACGTCGCAATGGAATTAATTTTTTATTATTTCGTGGCGACGATTTATATTGAATCGACGCAATTAATTAATTTAAGATTTTTTTTTTTCATTTTCGCGTCGATTCTGTGGAATTCGTCGCATAAAAGAATTGGGTTAAAAACCTAATTCGTTTCAGCCCAATTCTTCATTCTCTCTCTCTCTCCCTCTCTCTCTCTCTTCTCTCTCTCTCCGACTCTACCGTCGCCGGTGGCGGCGTCGTTCTGCCGGCGCGATTCCACCATCACCGGCCACCAAACTGCATGCCCTAATTTCAATTTGTAATCTACGCCATCAAACTCCCCCCTTCTTTCTCTCCCTCTCTCTCTCCCTCCATCTTTTTCTCACTCTCTTGGGATCTCTGTTTCGGTGTGTTGCCGCCGCCTCTGCCGTTGCCTTGCCGCCGCCTCGTCTGTGAAAGCCCACCGTGTGCAGACTGTCGAGGTATGATTCTGCATGTAGCATTTTAAGCTTCTAATTGTGTGTGTGTGTGTGTGTGTGTGTGTGTGTGTGTGTGTGTGTGTGTGTGTGTGTGTGTGTGTGTGTGTGTGTGTGTGAAGAGGCGTAAATGTTTGTTGAATTGAATTTGATAATAGGTAGATATATGCATCAAATTGTGTGATATGTGTGTGTTTTTCTCTCTGAGTGAGTGTGTGTGTGTGTGTGAAAAGGTTTTCTTTTTTTGTAATTTGATTTTCTTCATAAACATGTTTTGCTGATTCCAGCAAATCATACAGTTGCGAAAATTCGGCTGATGCGAATCTTAGAATTTGTAAAAGAGCAGAGGTAGACAAATGTGTCTGTGCGTGTGTGTGTGTGAGAATCGATTTGTGGAATCGGGTGAAAAACTGTTGAACCTTTGAATTCATTGATATTTGCCGTAGCCCGTATATCTTGATTATTGATGTACAGTTCTATAAATGCTATCTTTCGCCTCTTTGCTCACTTACGTTACTTGTTCGGACATAAAGATCTCTCAATGTTGCTTTGGGGGTGTATTTGCTGATTTTGGGGTGTATTTGGGGGTGTTTTTGCTGATTATGGGGTGTATTTGGGGTGTATTTGCTGATTTTCGGGTGTATTTGGGGGTGTATTTGGGGGTGTATTTGGGGGTGTATTTGCTGATTTTGGGGTGTATTTGGGGGTGTATTTGCTGATTTGGGGGTGTATTTGGGGGTGTATTTGCTGATTTTAGGCTGTATTTGAGGGTGTTTTTGGGGGTGTATTTGCTGAATTTGGGGGAGTATTTGAGGGTGTATTATTTGGGTGTATTTGGGGTTTTTCACTTTGGGGGGTGTATCGTAACAGACTAAATACACTTATGAACAACTCTCTCTATTTGATAATGCACTTATGAACAACTCTCTTAATTTTGTTGACTTGTTGACTGAAGGTACTTATTGCTTTGAAGAAAGGAACACAACTAATCAAGTATAGCTGGAAAAGGAAGCGCAAGTTTTGCACATTTAGACTTTCTCGAGTAAGAAATTATCCTTTCCCTCACCTTTACCACGACAAAGTTTTTCTGTATTCATTCAACTTTGTTGTCGCATGTTAACGGAAACTTATATGATGCAACTTACACCATGGGTGGTGCATGTTGTTATTAAACCAAGGGACAACTTTGCTCTAAAATCTGAGGATCTTGTTGAAGTTGAAGATGGATGTTATGAGATACTTTCGATAAATAATGACATAAATGTTATAGATGTTATGGAAGAGTAACTCATTGTATTAGTTGATCAAATATTTTTGGAACTCATATTTGTAAATTTACCTTTTATTTGAATTATTTGTCGTCTTAGTATTTTCATTAAGTTTATTTAAATTATTAATGTATTTAACTCGTCATATTATGTAAAAATTGATGCTAATGTATCTTGTTTTCTTGTTCAGGCAACCCGATTTGTGTATTTTCTATGTCAGGGCAAGGGTTGAGCACAGGGCAAGGTTCGAGCACAGGACAAGGTTCGAGCACAGATTACGATGTAGTAGTACACGTGGACTATAACGATTACGATTCAAAGCTCAACCACTAAGAAAGTTGCAAGATCAAGATTTTCTTCTGTTAGAAATGAAGAGTTGGAGACTAAAGTCGAGCTCTTAGAAGGAGAATTGCAAGAATCGCGAGATGAGGTGAGCTCACTTAAAGAATCTTTGAA